GCTCGGGGACCCGGATGGCAAGGAGGACCAGGGCGGCCGGGCTGGCAGGGTGATGTGCTCCATCTGGAAAACAAACAGCAAAAATGCCGTTCGCCTCCCCGGCCTTATCCAGTGTGGATAAACAGCTTGCTCTGGGTAGAGCTCAGGGCTGTCGCTTCCAATTACTCTTTTCCGTAGCAGAAGAGATGAGCTGAGCGCGCCGCGGAGGTTTCCTTTGCGAGCCCTCTGGCCAGCGAAGCAGCCCTGTCTGGCCATGGAGCCATCGGGCCAGAGGAACCCCGGGGTGCCTAGGGGTTTCCGAAAGCCCCCGAGGTGGTCAGTGGTGGGCAGGTAATAGCAGAGCGGTGCGTGCACGGGTGTAAAAACGCAGTGGATCTCTTGGCACGTGCTGTGGAGTGAGATGGCTGCCCACAAGCTTTGGTCACCAGCTCCCGTTGTCACCTTGCTTGGCGCGTCTGGTGCCCGCACTCACCCCTGAGCTGCTCCATCGCTGTGACATTCGTGTGCTGTGGTCAGCTGTTTGTTTAAATTCCCTCAAGTGGGGCCCTGCTCCCTCCCTTACGTGTGGATGAATGTAATGCAAGGCTTGTTTTGTTCCCAGGAGCTGTGTTCCAGCCCCCGGTTCATAGCCGGCGGAGCCACTCGCACGGACATCTGCCAAGGGGCCTTAGGTAAGGGGCGGGGGGGCAGAACACTGGGTTTTCCATGCAGGTGCTGTGCCAGGGCACCAGTTTATACTGGGCTGCTCGGTAAATACGTCCTTTTGCATCCTACCACCTTCTCTTCATATCACATCAGAACTTTCTTGCCTTCCCTCGGCAGCTGCGGGTAGGGACCGTGTGTGTGCAGCCACCGAGCGCAGCCGTGCTGTGTGTGCCGAGCAGGGGTGACGCAGTCTGCTTTCCTGGTGGCTTTTCCCATCGCTGCGCTTCCTTTATATCCGCATCCGTGTGCCTCAGAGCAGCTCGACTAAGTCCTGTCTTTCTCGGTCTGCTTGGAGGAGCTGTTGAGTGTGTAGCGGGGTGTCGCTTTCCCCAGTGGGGAAGACCGCTGCCTAGCAGGAGGGACCCCCTGAAACCTGGGAAGATGCGGTACAGAGAAAACAAATTATACAGAGGGATTCCCAGCTGCTCTCCAGCTCTTGAAGAAATCAGAACTGAGCTGTTTCAGGAAGGATGGGCCGGGCTCTGAGCCCTCTGCTTGTGCCATGGCTGTTTGTGCAATGGCAGCCCCTGGGTCAGCCACACCCGCTGTCCCCTGGGATCTGTCCCCAGGGGACAGTGGGTGGCTTAACCTGGCTGTGCGTGCATGGCCACCCTGGTCTCAAAGCCGCTCTCCCGCCTTGCCCTCCAGAAAGGGTTTTTGGCGCGTGCCTCTCCTCCCAGAAGGCTTTGTGGAGGCTGGCGAGGAGCACAGCCCCAGGGATGCGAGAGGAAATAAGCTGGGGTGGAAGCAGTGAGGCTCCGGTTCGTTCCGTAACTGCAGGGAGAGGATTTTAGATTAGACTGATAGCGTGGTTGAGGGAAAGCTCTTGGGGTAGGGAGACATGACTAATACATGCCGTGTGATGCGCTTTCATCGCAGAGTTGGCAAAGGAAAGAAGTTCTGTTTGTTTGCTTCTCATCAGCATAATATTAGCCACGTTGTGGCTTCTTCGTTTCTAGTCCTGCTGCTGCTGTTTGTGTTTTCACATCCAAAAATATAACAGGTAGGCAAGCTTATTTCACATGTTTTGTGCTTATGTTTTCTTTCAGAAGTTACTCAGGGTGGCACTTTGACAACTAGATACAACTTGTGTAAAAAGCCCTGACAATAAAAAAATACTTAAATTGTGATTTTAGTTCTTTTTGTGCCCCAGTGTCATGTGTGGCATGGATTAGACTCTGTTGTGTCGTGGGTGAAGGCCTTGGCATGTCACCAGCTTCCTTTGTGTGTTCCCTCTCGGCTCAGTATCACATCTCCCACCATGGCTGCTTTGGCATAAAGCAAGTCCCACTGCTGAAAACTCCTGCCAGACATCTGTCTGTATTTATATTTTTGTGAAACTTCCCAGCTAAGGAGTGGTTCAGCGTGACATGAGAGTTTATTGTAATGCCATTTCAACAGCTGGCATTTTGCACAGATGTTCACTTCGGAGGGCACTTAATCGCTGCCTTCTGCAGGCTTCCAGCTTTTCTATCCAGGTGTTGTGGCAGGTAACTCAGTTTTCAGGTTGTGGAGTTGCTGTTGCTAACGCTGAGCCTTGTTTTAAATTGATGAAAGCATTTGTTGTCTTAATGGTCTTTGGACCAGTTAAATGTTCTCTTGAGGTTGTACAGTACCACCAAAGGATATGAACTGACTCACAGCTTGTATTATTTTATCTCCTGAAACAATATTTGAATAGGAGGTTGTTAATGTTGCTGTTTATATTACTGTTTTCACCATGACTAAGTACTGCTATGACTTGCCCCGCTATCTTCTCATGAATCTGGGCAGGATTTTGGTATTGTGTGACAGTTTAGTGGTTGATTAAAAATTAGATGCTATTGATCTTTTTCCTGTATAGCCATTGAGTTACTAAGAGCGTGTATTGAATCTCTGCTTTTTCACACAATGAAACTAGCAGATGGGCTGTAAAAAAGCTTTTTTTGTTTTTGTTTTTTTCCACCACCTCATCTGACACCAGCACTTGTACCAATACATTTGCTTCAGCTTTGATTTACTTGAACGTTGTGTGCTGACACTGATGTCCTGTCACATATTAGGATATCACAAAGATTGCACTGGAAGATGTCAGGTGTTCTTGGAAACCTGTACTTTTTATTATGTTGCTATTTTTTTTCTGTAGAAAGCTTTTGTAGTCTGTTTATCACCTGAATGGTTTAATCTCAAAGCAACACACCCGTACCCACATGGAGTTTCGTTGCTATTGCTAAGCCATTCAGAACATCCTGGAGTACCGCAGGGACAGATGGGGCATCCAGAGCACACCTACCCGTCGCTGCTGCAACAGCCTCTGTGGCAGGGGGTGTGTAACTAAACAGCTCAGCTAATGAGCAGTGGTACAGACGTCCCTTTTAGCGCAGGAGTCTTTGGTCTGTGAGCCAGACGCAACCTATAAATTTGTCTCATTGTTTTTGACCTGGATTATATGACATTGCAGTGCATAAAAGGCGTAGCTGATCATCAGTGCACAAAACGTCGTCCCCTCACCAGCGTTCTTTAGTTCTCCAGACACCCAAGTTCTGCCCCTTGGTCTTTGATTTATCCTTCATACTGTTCTGTTGCTTTTTAGAAGCAGCTTTCCAAAGCAGGTGTTTGGAGTTAGCTTTGCAGCATGGGAGCTGCAGTCAGTGATGTTATTTGGCTCACAAAGCAGCAAATGGGATGCAGTGACTCACTGCAGCGGAGGAACCAAAGCCGCTGAGGAGAGGAAGCTTATTCACCCTTAACCACCGCCTTTGGAGGGGATGTCACCATGGTATCACAACACTGGGGTGTACACAGCGCAGTATCTCTCATCTGCTGTTAGACACAGGTGTCTCCTCCTTACATAAAAATGTGTGGAAAAATAATGAATTGAATAGGATGAATTTAGAAGCTTGGACCTGTGGTTTTCCCATGCTGGCAACCACTCTACCATAAGTAGGTTGCCACAGCCTCATGTTTCTAACCCAAAAACTTCCTGGAGTCCCATGGTATTAATATAAATACATTCAGTAATTGTTATATAGCTGTGAGGGTTTTAAAGCAATGACGTGTCCGTGATTGGCTGAATGTGCATTTTTCCTTTGACCCTGTACTCTTCCATGGGCTCTGCAGTGACCAGAGGAGCTGCCTTTTGCTTACAGGCTTCCAGGCGCTTCGTGGGGATGCTTTGCTTGTCTTTGCTCTCCAGAATGGCCAATTTTAAGCCCTTATGGCTGTTAATGCTTACGGTTACCTTTTTTGTAATGTTGTTCTGTATAGCTGGAGATTAAGTAAATGCAGAGATGGATGTCTGAGAAGTAAAACATTGATAGCAGTAAAAAGGAAGCATTACAGGAAAAAATAGTACTTCTTGTTAATATAAATAAACTCACAGCCTGATAGTATTCTCTTTTCTGATAACCTTGTTCTGCCTATTGTATTGTGCATTTACAAAAATTCTTCATGGTGAACCTCACCTTGCTAACACTCCTTTCAAATTCTTCATGTAAGTAACCTGTCTGTTAGTCATCTCTTGGACTTTCCTTCTCTTTCAAAAGAAAGTCACTGTCAAGAGCCTTACAAAAGTACCAGTTCTTACAGTCAAGACTATTTGGTAAAGACCCTGCTCAGGCTTACTTAATGCAGGCTAAAACTCGAGGTTTTACCACAAGATCAGTTCTTGTCCAGGCTTTGAATTATCAAGTCAACTTTTAGTGATGACTGTTCAGAAAGGGAGACCTGATATCCTGGCTGCTGAGCACTTTTAAATGTGGAATCTGAAGGGTGGTCTGTCGCCCATATGTGCTGCATCTGCCTTTTAACCTCAAGACGACCTTGCCCAGAGTTGTCTGAGTTAAGATCTATGTTTCTCTGACTCTAAGTTCTCCTTAGAAACCAGTAAAAAGTTAGAGAGATATTTTACAACAGTCTGCTATTCCTTTCTCTTCATATCTACCTTGATGGGGCAGCTACAAAATGAAGGAAATTCTTTACAAACTCTGCTTATGGGCTTAGAGGTCCTCTGGGTGGGGGTTCTCATCTGTGAACTTCAGTGCTTCTTATCTATAGGGGCAAGCTGACTCAAACATGGATGATTGCATTAAAGGGTGTATGCTCTTAACCTAGATGCCTGAGCAGCTTCTTAACCAAGGCTTCCTGAGCTACTGTGGTCATGTTGAGTTGTTCATTTAATCTTTCCGTGCTGCTCTCTGCCTCACCAGCCCCTGCCTTGTTTATGGAGTAGAAATGTTAATATTTTTTTTAAACATTGGTGGGAGACCTCCTCTCTGAGCCAGACATGCTACTACTTTAAATCAGTATAGTTTTTCTGAGGGTGGTAACACCACTGTCAAAGGCTCTGGGGGATTCTCAGAGCAGTCAAGTAAGTCTGTGCAGTGTGAACTCTGGTTTACGCTGCAGGTTGGGCAACAGAGAGGAAAAACATGTCCACAGCTGACTGCGAGCAAGGGGCATAGGACATGCATCCAGCTGTTCCCACTCACCCAACAGAGCATGCATGAAGTGCCTGCAGCTTTGTTGTAGAGGCCGGGAGCTGTATGGTTTTACCCAGCTTTGCCTTAGGAGTAGCACAGCTGGGGTGAGCAGGCTGCATTGCTGTCTTTCTGCATTCATCTAATGTAATTCTGAATGAGAGCGTGTATCTGCGTAATCACGTGAGGACATCCTAGCAGTCTAGGTAAGCATACCTGTGCTGGCTTTACACTAGCTGGTGTAGGTCTGAGATACCAGAGATTCACCTCGCCTCCAAGTTGTGTGTGTCTGTAAAAGCCTTACGGAGCCTGGAACGTGTGCCGGGGTTGTTCTGCCGCTCGGACACGCGGATTGTCAGTTATTTGGCCCCTGTGCTGAGATGAGACCGGTTAACCTGTCAATTTGAATATTTGTGACTTGTCTCGTGCCTGCTCCCAGTGTTGAGGATGCTTCGAGATTGCTGTTTGTTGAAATCTCACTGAGGCATGCTACTTTCCCCAGGTGTGAATGACTGCAGCGCTGGAGGGACAGTGGCGCAGCAGGGAGAATGAAGATCCCCACTCTTTTCTTTCTGTTAGGATTTGTTGGTCTGAAAAACACCTGTGAGCCTGTGGCTCCTGTGTGCTAGGAGAGGAATATCTGGGGAGCGGCCAGGCGTTATCCACCTGTGGGCAGTGCTGGAGTCTCGATGGAGTGCTCAGCTCTCCCAAAGTCTGTGCTGGTCCAGTGCACATGTAGACGTATATCCATACCTTTCTCCCACAGTGTTTCTGACATAATGATATTTCTACTGCCAAATACGTAACAACCCACTGCTGTCTCGACCCACAAGAGTCCTGTCACAAACTGTGACCTCCTTTAACTCAGTAAGGTGACAGAAAGACACTTTTTTCCGGGTTAATGAATTGACTTGCTGTGTGATGAGTGTTGGTGGGAGAAATGCAAGTTAAGGAGGAAGGAGTGGAGACAGTGTGATATTAATTCAGCGGTTGTATGGTATTAATTCAGCCTGACCCCACAACAGCCCCAGTCAAAGTGCCAGGGCTGTTCTCTAGCAGTGTGTTTTTCCTTGGACTTCAGTAACCCCAGTTCTCATTCAGAAACTAACTGCTTTGGAGACTTAATAAAAACAGGGATCCTTGGTATGGAAGAGATCTCTGGGTGGTCTCTCCCCAGTGATTACCATGTTGTCAGGTTTGTTTAAGGACTCCTTTGGTCAAAAACAACCCAAAAAAATACAGAAATAACTGTGTGGGCAGGCTGTGTATGAGAGAGCACAGACCTAAGCTGGACTGAAGTCCTGTTGTCGTCTTTTGACTAAAGGGTTTGTTTCCAGAGCTCTTTAACCCCCTCCTGTGTTAGGAGAATTGCTGCGTAGCATCGCTGCTAAAGCCCTCACATGGCTGGGGGATAGAAGATCATACTGTTAATTGTGGATTGGAGAAAACGTCTCTCATTGCTTCATAGTCTGTCACAGGAGAATGACAAGGTGACTTTCCATTTGAAAATCTTCTCTGACATGACAATTTCTCCATTGTGGTACAAGCAGCCAGAGACAGGGCTGAAGGGAAAGCTTTACATTCGGTTCTTCCCCTCCAGGTTATGAAATAGTAAAATTATCCCAGGTTCTGAAATTATTCTGCAATTTCACATCTCCCACCTTCCGTGAGATGCGAAAAGGGCCATGGGACAAATGTCGTTCGTAGAGCTGCTGCTGGGGATCAGCTGCGAAGAGCAAGGAGAGAGTCGCAGGTTGCCGATGTTCCTCCTAGTGCTATCCGAGTGGTGATAGATTTGGGCCTGAGAGCGGCCCTCAAGAGCTGCTTCTCCCATTGAATCCCAGCTTTTTACCAGTGAGCTTTTGACTCCTTTCCTACAGGAAAGAGCTGGCTGTATAGAGACCGCTGCTTTTCTGGCCTCTGACTTGTTGGCAGTGGGTTCATGTTTCTTGAATCTGCAATCCTGTACCTGCTGCAGGACGGTTTTGTGGGACCTGATGTGTAAGACTTCCCTGTGCTTACAAGGCATGTCTGGTAATGGTAGCAAGGAGTTTTGTGTTGGGCTGTGGGCATCAGGGGATCAGCAGGGTCTTTAAATCTCTAATTACCTTGCCAGTGGGCTGCAGGAGGCCCGTGGCTGCAGAAAGGTAACCACTGGTTTCTGAAAATAATTACAAAAAATAGAGGTAATGTTTATATAGTTGTGGTGTCCTCCTCCCTCTGCTTGGTAGAAGATGGTGTGGAAAAACACTCTCCAGACATCCCGGGCTACAGGGCTGTGGTGTTTAGGCTTGATGTGTGTTGGATCTGTCCCAGGAAGGGTGAAGAGGTGTGTGGGACTGGGGAACAGGGCCTGCCTTCAGGCCTTTCCTGACTGGCCACTCACGCCGGAGGCGAGCCGTGGGACTAAACAGAGGCCTCCGGAGAGGTACCAGGTGAAAGGAGCTCCTGTTTGGTAGGAGGCTGGCAAGAAACCTTCAAGGGGCCTCATCCGTAGGATAGGTTTCTAGATGTCAACAGGCATTCATTAAACATGGAGGAGGGAAAGGAAAACAGCCCGTGATCAAGAAAACACTGGCCCTTTGAGGAGAAACTGTACCCCCGAGTCCCTCTGTGTGCCCACAGGCCCTGCTCTTTGCCTTTTCCCCATGCTGCTTCCTGACCTGTAGACACTCAATCCAGTTTTCTTTCAAATAGTCCCAGCATGGGTGATAACTCTGTCGGTAGATCATAAAAAGCCTGCTTTTTGGGGTTTTTTCAATTACTTTGCTCTTGAGGAAATGCAACACTTGTCTGGAAATAGCGGGTGTTTGTATACACTTGATCTGCCTTAGAGTTAAAGTGATGGGAGGGATCATCTCAACACAGCTGAGGTGTTTATTCATTATAATGCTCAATCCATATGCAGTAAAAAAAAATATATGGTTTGAATAATGAACAGTGTCTTCTTTTTTTTTTTTTTTTTTTACAGGGGACTGTTGGCTCTTGGCCGCTATTGCCTCTCTCACCCTGAATGAAGAAATTCTGTCCCGTGTTGTTCCCAAAGACCAGAGCTTCCAGGATAAATATGCAGGAATTTTCCACTTCCAGGTAGGTGGAAAACAGCCTCACCCCCCCAGTGCTGTTGGCCAGGAGCCAGCATGGCTGAGTATGTCTACACAGCCTTCCAGGCGTTTCCTGGAACACTTTGAGAGATGTCAAATAGCCAGGCAGAAAACCAGAGACATCCAAGAGGGTGATGGTGGCAGAAAGAAGACCACTAACCAAATTGCTGGGAGCAGCAGCTGTCTTTGTGGTCCTTCCTCCATCTGCAGGTCCAGCTGAGGACGTGCATCCCTGAACGGGGTTGGCAAAGCTTGGCTGTGAGGGAGATCGCTTTTCCTCCAGGAAATGGGTGTTGGCAGAAAAATGTCCTGGTGACCCACATGCACAGCCTGGGGCGGTGACGAGGCATTTGTGATCTCTTTCCAGTTCTGGCAGTACGGGGAGTGGGTGGACGTCGTGGTGGACGACAGGCTGCCCACCAAGGGAGCTGCTCTGCTCTTCGTGCACTCGGCAGAGGGCAGCGAGTTCTGGAGCGCGCTGCTGGAGAAAGCCTACGCCAAGTGAGTCTGGGACAGGCTTTCACCCCTCTCAAACCTCCCAATGCCTCTGCTTCCTCGTAGCATACTCAACTGCACCGATACTATGCATTTAAAATACCAGCCTAATTATTAACCTTTACAACTTTTGGGGTGTCCCACAGTGGCTGCTTTAGTAAAGCTTTGCTGACTGGTGCTTAAGGCAAGTAGCCAAAAGACTGACTTTGTTGCTAGCCAAGAAAATAGCCCTTACATCTCATGGCTAGACTGTTCGTAGAGTGCTGCCCCTCATCACCATGGCCTGCGAAGCTCCGCTCATGTGCTCTGTACACCTTGAGGGCTTGCAGCTTCAGCATGCAAAGCACGCCAGTCTGTGTGCCCGGATCCCTGTTCAAGGTGGAGATGCTCAAATCCAGATCTCCCGTTTTGGGATGGTCAGGGAGGAATTCTGCCATCTAACATTAGTACTTTCAATTGATTTAAGAAATTGAGCTAATTTAGATAAACTGAAAATCAGACCCATAATTTTTTAAGGGGATTGAAAGAGTTGGTGGAACTAGAGGGGCAAATTGTTGGGTCTTGATTTTTTTTTTTTTTAAAGATTATTTTTTCTTCGAATAGTGGTCGTGATTTTTGTCATCGATATTACTGAACTTGCACATATACGTGATCATATAAGATTTTATTCTGGGCTTTTCAAGTATAATTGTTTAAGAAGTGAAGCTGAGCGGGGGATGCGTTCGTAGCTGCTGTGGTGTGGTTGAAAGGTGTGACAGATGGCACAACTGAGTGCCCCTCTCCAAGAGAAGAGGAAAATAGAGAGCCTGACCGTTGTGTGTGTGTCCTTCCTTTCACGCAGGCTGAACGGATCTTACGAGTCTCTCTCTGGTGGCACCACCACTGAAGGCTTTGAGGACTTCACTGGTGGAATTGCAGAATGGTATGAGCTGCAGAAGGCACCACCCAACCTCTTCAGAATCATCCAGAAGGCACTTCAGAAAGGCTCTCTCCTTGGCTGTTCCATTGATGTGAGTTAACGGGATTATTGTTGACATTCGGCTCTTGCTGTGCGTGCGGGCAGCTGGGGGATGGACCTGTGCTCCGTTCCCAGGAGGAACATGAGGGATGTTGGTCCCCTCCGCCTACAGTTCCCTGCTCTACCTTGTGCCTGGGGAATTCAGTCCGAGCGTGTGACACCAATGCAGGCTCTTCTAGGGGGTTATGTCCGAGAACAGGTTGAAAAGTAGACTTCATTAGTTCACCTGTAAAAGCTCATTGCCTCCCTGTTTCCTAGGTTTGTGGTATCAGATCGTACAGGGAACTCATCGGGGGCCCTGATCTCCATCTCTGTGCTTGAGGGAGCCCCTAGCTTGGCAGCAGGCTGGCACAGCCTGAGTGGGTTAGACAGAAATCTGCTGCTAATGGCTTCTGCCGTCAGATGCTCAGAGGTGGCAACCTCTGTCCTTGCCGTAGCTGGTTTGTTGCACAAATTGTACCAAAATGTTCCCAAAAAATCTGGGCTCTGTGTTTGAAGCGGCGAGGCTTGGACTGTTGCCAAGCTTTTGAAAGGCTTTATTGGAAAACATGTTGCCAAAAGCTGAACCTGTACCAGAAGGAAAAGAGGAGTTTTGGCCCTGCTAAAAAGGATTCGGCATTGCTTTTAGCCTCACTGAAATGAGTCTTAAGTATGGTTATTGTGATAATCACTCTGCTCCCACAGGAGGTTACGTCTTAGTTATGTCTAAAGAGAAGGTAAACTGTTTACAATAACTTCATTTGCAATATAAACTCAAGTGTCTCCTCTGGTTTTTTAAGTTAAATTGGAGTCACTGGAGAGGGAAGCTTCACAGTGGGGAAAGTACTTGGTTAATGTCAGCATGCAACTTCACAGCACTTTTGAGGCCTGTTTTACTAGTTTGCATTTAGATAAGAATCTGACATCTGGCTTTTTGCCCCAGAATGATAGAAATCTCTTGTTGGGGGTGGGGACAATACAAATGTTCTTTTGTTGGTAAGTTCCGAGTCCTTGTGTATTGTAAACTAATTATTAGTGAGTTTAGCCTTTGAAAAATCCTGTAAAATCTTCTCTTCTGAGAGAGAAACAGGGACACAGGTTAAGCATGACATGGAGAGTCCGCTGTGGGGCAGTAATAGGGCATGAACTGACAGTAGGAATCCTGCCTGCTTGCGCCCACCCTCTCTTTAACTTCCAGATACGCTTGTTTAAAGATCACACACTTTCTGAAATGGTGGGAAGGCAATGGCAGATGTATGTTTCATAGAGTTTTAAGCATGTTTAGAGCAATATGCTGAGCAGTCACTTCCTAGCAAGAAGTGATTTTTCCCTGAAGTGTTTACAGGCCAGACTGCCCGAGTATTGCAATGGCTGTGAAAAAGCAAGAGGGTGATATGCCTTCAGGGATGAATGGCATCCAAAGTGCAGCCTGCCCTGCATGGCAGGTCCTAGGGTGGTGGTGCTGGGGAGAGGAAGGGGAACCTTCCACCCTGCTGTGGAGCCAAAGGGGGTGTTTTGACCCAAAACCAAAGCACTGGGGCTTGCTGGACCTGGGTGTGATCCCTGGGGAGCTCTAGGAAAGCTCTTGCTGGACCTGGTGTGATCCCAGAGGGCTCCCTGGGGAACCTCAAGCTAGTTATCCCCTGTGTTCCCCCTGGTCACTTGGGAACATGGAGGTCATCGTGTGCATTCCCTTTGTACAGTGTTTGGAGATGCATGAGATGGGATGCAGCACACCAAGTGTTTCGGAGCCAGGAGGGAGCTTTGCTGCAGTGCAGGGCTTCTGGCATGCACCCTGTGCCACAAACATGGGCACTGGAGCTCCAGCGTTGCCACACATGCTGCCATCCCCTCTCCCCCGTCACATAGATCCCTCTCATTGCCTCTCTGCAGCAGCTAAACCACCCCTACAGCCTCCCAGCGAGATTAAGGCTCCGTTGGAGGGGGAAGCTTTGCGCCATTGGGTCCCCTTCCACATGGGAAGCCACACTCACTGACTTTCTTTGCTCTTCCAGATAACCAGTGCGGCGGAGACGGAGGCAGTCACTTCCCAGAAGCTGGTGAAGGGACACGCATACTCTGTCACGGGCGCGGAGGAGGTAGGTGCGCTTTCCCAGAGGGTGAAATGCAGTGAGCTTTGTGCATAGCCCTCCACGGACCATGGCAGCCACAAATTCATCTTCAACGTGGCAAATTCTTCGGTCTCATCCACTTTGTCAAATCAGGTTTTGAGTCGCTTCGTACTGAATTGGTTGGCGTGTTTTGGATAAACTCACACTTGACTTCTTGGGGCTTTGACCAAAAAAACCTAATTTTTTCCATAAGCGCTGCTGTTTCCTAGTGAGCGGGCAGTGGGAAGCCCTGTGCAGAGGGCACACTACCCTCTGCTGGTGACATATGTCTGTATACCAGGCAGCACTGTACTTCAAATGCACAGCAAGATGTGCAAGAGTTGTGTGCCAAGCAAAACAAAAAATATACATGCATATATATGTATAATTGTCCCTTAAATGGCTGCTGAGCAGCGCCTTTCGGCAGGGCACGGTGTTTGAAGGCCAGCTGCCTGTCCAAGAGTAGGTGAGTGAAAACAAAGGAGGCGGATCAAGACATCCTTCCGCCTGTGCGATGGACTCTCGGTTACTTTGCTGATAATTGTTTCTGAAGTGCTTTCTGAAACTTCCGAGGGGACCGGCATGCTGCCCTGAGGTGGGCGCTGCTAAGAGGCAGGTTTTGTCCGTGCAGTTGGTCCTCCTCTCACGGCGAAAGCAGCGAAGGGGTAGTTTGATCTTAATTCACACACAGGCGTGACTCATCCGGGCTTTCCCTGGGGAGATATTTGCAGGCTTCGTAACGATAATTCACCTCGGGCACTGGGGCATTACTCTGCATTGCTGCTGTTTTCCCAGCTTTGGGCTCTAGAGATGCGGCAGCTCCTTCCTCAGATTAGTGCCATGTGTTCCCCATAAATACTGGGGAAACTCGTACAGCTTTGCTTGGTCTGGGCTCCGTGCACACACGGAGATCAGCAGAGAATGAGCCAGGGCCTCAGGGCAGTGCTAGGGAGGGGGAAAAAGGCATTTGAATGTGAAAGGGCAGTTTATGCATAGATGAAAACTTTAGAGAAATATCCACTTGTACCTTCTTTTTGACATTCCTGTAGCAGCTTTATGTTCCCTTTGCTTGAAATCCTATCAGAGGTAACTGTTTTAGCAGCACAAAACAGATATTTTGGCTATTGTCAGCTTTGATTGCACGAAAACCTCCTCTGGACAAGTTTGGGTGCGTGGAGCTCGTTCAAAACCAGTTTGACTTCGTGTCTTTGTGACCAGATGAGCATGTGTTTGTGTAGGACTGAAATACTCGGTTATGTCCTTCAGTGCCCATAGAAAAGGTGGAAGGGAGTGCGGTGCTGAGTCCCTGCGTAACTCTCCATACGCTTCTGATCCCATCAGGTGAACTTCCGAGGAACAGTGCAGAAGCTGATCAGAATCCGCAATCCCTGGGGGGAAGTGGAGTGGACCGGGAAGTGGAACGACAAGTGAGTTGATGCCTTGGGCATTGCCTGTAAGCTTTTACTGCTGGGGCGTGATCATGTTTCTGCTGCTGCTTGTCTTCTCCCTCCCTCAGATCCCTCTCTAAGGCACATCTGGCTGAGATGTTTGCACTGAGCTGTTAAAAAGAAGCGTCCCACCGCTGTGGGAGCATCCCACCTGCGTGTGGATCTCCCACACAGGCATCACGGCATGCCATGCCCTTCATACAAACACCCTTTGTGTAACATGCAGGGATTTGGTTGGTGATTCCTGCAGTTTGGAGGCTCTGCAGTTTCTGCTGCGTTAACAGACCGGGCTCAGTGGTGAGCTTCTATAAACATAGTTTCTAAAAGGGCTTTAAAAATCCATTTCTGTTGTTGGCAATGGAAGCTGGAGTTTACTCCTGTGGCTGGGCAGTATTTATTCAGGGTCTTGCTTTTTCTAAAATAAAGCTCTGTCTTTGTCGAGGCATTAGCACTTCCTGCACATGAATCTCCATTTCTGATCCTTCTCTTGGATATTTAAGAACTGAGGTATTGAATATCCCAGGTCCCTGTATTTTAATTCTGCTATGGTTTGAGAGCTCTGGGGCTGCTGTCAGCTAGATATTGTGGGGTACTGCAATTGCGTGGAGCTGTGAGAAGGTGAAATCGTTGTGCCAGAAGAGCTGCATTGGGATTTAACCTTTTCTGTGCCCTGTAGTTGATGTGGGGTTGTCTTTCAGCTGCCCAAACTGGAGTGGCGTTGAACCTGAGGTGCGGGAGCGGCTGACCAGGAGGCATGAAGATGGGGAATTTTGGTAAGTAGCACTGGGTTTCCATTCGGGCTGAAGGGAATGTCGTCTCCTCTGCTTACCGAGAGAGTAACCTCTCCCAGTACATCCTCCCAGGATGAGTGACCACATTCACCCCAAATCCTAGTGCTAAATGGCAGTGGGAGAGGGGAGGGTAGACAAGGTGGTTGTAGAGAAAACCTGTCCAGTCTAAGGAGATGTTGTCTGTGGCACTGCCTCCTCCAGGATGGCCTTCAACGACTTCTTGAGGCATTACTCCCGCCTGGAGATCTGCAACCTGACTCCAGACACCCTGGCAAGCGACAGGTACAAGAAGTGGAGCCTGCTGAAGCTGGATGGGAACTGGAGGCGAGGAGCCACTGCAGGAGGCTGCAGGAATTATCCTAGTAAGAGAAAGTGGACAATCCCTTTACTCTTCCGCTTGTACTTCCTCTGGGAGGTGTTTTGGAGCCTGTGGACGAGGAGGATATACCTGGGATATCGTGGACTGATGTCCAAAAAGTGCAGGTGTTTGGGAAATGTGGCTCCCTGATGGGGTCTAGTTGTGGTTGTAAAGGCTTGGGGCAGGGGGTGGGAGTGTTAGTTTTGCCTTCTCACAGCTGATTTTGGGAGTCAGAAACGCAGCTGACATGTGTATCAGCATGGCTGCTTTCAAAGGAGCCTCTGAGCAGTTTGCATAAATCCAATCCCCAGACACTTTCTGGACGAATCCACAGTATTTAATCAAGCTGGAGGAGGAAGATGAGGATCCTGATGATCCGGAGAGGGGTTGCACTTTCCTCATTGGCCTGATTCAGAAGCACCGGCGGAAGCAGAGGAAGATGGGAGAGGACATGCATACCATCGGCTTTGCAATTTATGAGGCAAGTAGGGCAGTACAAGTGCATGGGAGGAAGAGGAAAAGTCGCCCTATAAGTGGGGTAGTGCAGTTCTCGGGCTGGGTTTTCTGCCAAAACTCAGCTGGGTTGAGTTGGAAACCAGCAAGGAAGAGCCCACTTAGATGTTTAGAAAATTATCCTCCACTGAAACAGTGGTCAAGCACAGGGACCCGTACCCAGAGGTGATGGAATCTGCCTTCCTGGAGATACTCAGACCTAGACTGGACAAGGTCCTGAGCAAGGTGTAAAGCAAAGCTTGGTCCCCTGAACCTGTAAGGAAACAGCAAGCTGCGTTACTGCCTTGCTCAAGCCCTGCTTCCTTGTTGTGGAGAGGTCAGGGGGCAAAGGAGAAGGTGGAAAGAAATAGTAGAGAAACTGAGTCTACAATTGAAGAGTCAGCAGGAAACCACGACCAGCCAGGCTGCATCTGCCAGGCGGTGCCCACGCTGCCCGGACTGAGCTCCATCTGCCTCCAGGGTGGAGCTGGGAACTGAGCCTGCAGCTGGAATGCTGGGCTCCGGATGGATCTTTTGTGGATGTACCCACTCCCCAAGGGTGAAAAGAAGCAGCCCTGGAGCTGCAACATAACAACAAGCAAACAGGAAACCACGACCAGCCAGGCTGCATCTGCCAGGCGGTGCCCACGCTGCCCGGACTGAGCTCCATCTGCCTCCAGGGTGGAGCTGGGAACTGAGCCTGCAGCTGGAATGCTGGGCTCCGGATGGATCTTTTGTGGATGTACCCACTCCCCAAGGGTGAAAAGAAGCAGCCCTGGAGCTGCAACATAACAACAAGCAAACAGCTCTCTCCTTTTCTCCTTGCAGGTGCCCCCAGAGGTACGTAGCATGCGTTGGTGGTCAAGGTGCAGAGCCAGGGCTGCATGGTTTGTGGGAAGAAATGGCTCAGAGGACCCTCCTTCATTACAGGACATTATTGACTATGCAGAGTCTAAAGTTAGAGGCCATTTATTCTGGAAGGGGACTTGAGCCCATGTGGTGTTTTCAGAGTGTCCTGGGTTGGGGTAAGAGCTCTCTCTGCTGCAGAAACTCACCAAAGGTGCTGTTCCATGGGTTTTCTCCCAGCCCAGACTCACCCCTACTCCCCCAGCGCTCAGCTGCTTTTCTCAGGTTTGCGCACAGTTCGCGTTTGACACTCAATTAATGTTCCAAGGAGGTGTTTATTTTCCTTCATTTCCCTAAGCACTGTGTTTATTGGCCTCTCTGTGTTCGTACCTGCAGGTACCTTGCCCCGGGGATCAGAGGGGTGTGCCATGCAGTGATGCACGTGCGATGGGAGGCAGGGCTGCAGGCGTCTCTGAGCTGTTGCCCCTCAGAGGAATGAGTGAGCAAAATGCCCGAGTAACCTCATTATGGGGCTGCTGTTCCTGTGAGGTTTCGTGCAAAGCAGCCAGGGCACCCTGAGGATCCCGAGGCTATGCTCAAACCAGCTCCTGTTACACAAAACGTGGTTTCTTTGGGGAAGGGAATGGTGCTACCAGTTAATTAAATTTCTTTTGTACCTTTTGAATGCCTTAGCAGTACTGTCAGCCGCTCAGCTCTCACTCTAGTGGCCCAAAAACCTCATTTCCATAAAAAAGGGACTCTAGCCACAGTCCCCTGACTTTTCTTTTCCCCAAAAAGTGGCATTTCATATCCTGTCATCACAGCAGGTCTGACAGGTTTTGCTGCCATAAAAATCCATGATGGGAAGGGGCGGATTTCTGAACCGTGCACGTTGCTGCTATTTGCTTCCAGATCTGAGCTAGCCCACCTGTAAAACCCTGCGCAGAAGAGCCTGTTCTGGCGGGTGTTCCACACCAAAGATGTTTTTATAATGCCTAACTTTTATTTTATTGTCGGAGGCCTCCGTAAGCGCGTGGGCTGCTCTGCCAGGCAGCCCGGCCTCCGAGGCAGAGCTGAGCTGCAGTCCCCTGCTGGCACCAGCTCTGGGGAGCAGGGAGACATGGATGGGTCACCATCCACCTCTCCCTAAAGAAAACTGGTTGGTGGAAGAGCTTGCCACATGTCTTCAGACACTGATCATCATCCGTCAAACGTAAGGGTGACCTGAGTGAGTTACTGAGAGGATCTGCAAAATACGTTTGCACCTGCAGTGCAGGGGCGCTGCGGTGGGATGCACCCACCCCCTTTCTCTTCTCTCTTCTGGTTCTGTTGAACCTAACTAATTGTCACATCCATTATATTTTTAATTTGCTAATGCAAATACGTGCCAACTGTGGGGAGTTATTTTCTCTTTCTTTGTTTTTCATAAGTTTTCTGGCCAGACGAATATTCATCTGAGCAAAAACTTTTTCCTGACCAACAAAGCGAGAGAAAAATCAAACACCTTTATCAACCTCCTTTTTTCAAGCTCCCTGCAGGAGAATACATCATTGTGCCCTCCACCTTCGAACCCAACAAGAATGGGGATTTCTGCCTGCGAGTCTTCTCCGAAAAAAACGCCAACTCTACGTACGTAGCTCTCCTGTAACCGTCTGAGAGCGGGCTGGGCACGTGGGGGATCCCTGGTCCCTCTCGCAGGCCTGGAAGGATGAGGCAGCACGGGGCTGGGGAGCATCGGCTTCCCGCAGGGAGTGGGAAGGGGGGATGCTCAACCACCCTGCATGGATGGGGTCACAGCAGTTCTTGTTTGTCCCCAGTTTCCCCACGTGTGGCTGAGGAGAGTTTGAGTAAACTTAGCTGGAAGGAATGGAATAATAATAATACAGTACAATAGAACATATTGTTATTAATAATAATTTTTCCAGCCCTACCTGAGCTGACATTTTTAGTTATTGGGCTGTAGGCGGCTGGGTGCCACAGAACAGGTTGGTCTGTGGAGAGAAGTCACAGGCTGGGCTCCCTGGGAGACAGAAACACACACTTTCAGCCGTCTGGGAACACAGTGATCGCAACAAAGGATCTCACACCTTTTGAGATCAGGCTGGAAAAAAATTCAAGATGCTTGCTCAACTCAATGATAAGTTTGATAAAATGAAAATGGGGTTTGATGGAACTGGCTCAAGATGCCATGTCACATCTTAAAGGGCAGCTGGGCTAAGGCCTTGGGAAGGGGTGTGGGATTTTTTGTATTGAGTTCCCTAACTCAAAACAAGCTAAAACCTTCCTACACCTTTCTACTATTCTGTAATCCCTCGTTGCATGTTTCTGTAGGAGTGAGAAAACTGGGGCGTCAGTTGTGTGAGGGAACATTGAGTTTTTGGTAGGCCCCTAGCCATGCTTGTGCTCCCACAGCAGCTGGGGGATGGCTGGAAACACTTCTACCTACTTTAAGACTCTCACCTTTGCTGTTTTAAAGGAAAAAACAGATAAAAGAATAAAAAGTTAGCAGGTAGGAGTTCGATTTGCACCCAAGAGCCTGGTCCTGGGCCGAGGGCTGTAGGCAGTGGCACTGAGTGACCCAAAGGGTTATGTCTGACCCAAAATCCAGCCTGTGGCTCTGTGGGACGTTGCAGTTTGTAATGTGTTTTGAAACTCTTGATGCAATAGCTGGCAAAATACTGCCCTCGCTAGTGGTGTGCAGGGTCTGTGGTTAATTAATCCAGTAACTTTCGAACACTCATCGTTATTCACATAATTTAAATCTCTCTTTAAGTGGAGCTTGAACAGAGGGCATCAGAAAAGTGACTTGGTTTGGGTTTAGTATTGATTTCTTTATCTTTCTAGGGTTATAGATGATGAAATTGAGGCCAATTTTGAAGAGGTATGTCTTAATTTAAATGTTATAAATGGAGATAATTTTGTGGTAAATATGTGGGGTTGGAGGCCTGTTCCCCGTGTGGGGCAGCGTTTTTCTACAGGCATCATCAAGAACTGTCGTCCCACTTTAGAAACAGATGTTTCAATATCCATTGAAATTGAAATGTCCAGCAAATGGAAATACCGTAAGCGATAAATGGAAACACGTGTTGCCCCTTACCCAGAGTGGTGAGCTTGGGCTTCCCAGGTAGAGACCAGGTACTCTCTGCAGAGGCAACTGGAGCCACAGGAAATTCCCTTTGCTCTGCGGGAGTGCAGCCCTTTAGCTGTAGAGGTGGTTTTGCGTGTGATGTTGTTTCCATGAGTAGGTAATGCTTCACCATGTGTTTAGTCTTCCTGGTGATGTTTTGCCTACTAAAGCATCTGCCACTCTGTGTGATTTAATGGGTTTTTTCCCCAAGATGAGAAAAAACACTTGCTTTCGTGTCAAGACAGCTAGTCCAACAGCAGCAGCAGCACTAACAGTGAAGTGCTGAATTTGGGTGTGATTTTTTTTTTTTAAATAAAGTTTTTTGAAAGCCATCGCCAAAGTTCTTAGTTCCTGCAGTGTTTGCAACACCAGTGTTTTGAGGTGCCTCTGAAAATTAAACTGATATAAATTAAAGTTAAAAGTGCCTACCATCAACTTTGCCATTTAAATTGTTTTACTAGGGGCAAGGAAATGCATTACGTCCTTCTCGGGCAGAAAAGTTCCTCCTTTCCATATTCTCTGTTTCTCTCTTCTAGACCGAGATCAGTGAAGATGACATCGAACCCAGCTTTAGAAAGCTTTTTGGACAGCTAGCAGGAAGTGTGAGTATTTTTTTGTTAAGGACTTGCTGGTAACATGGGTGAGTGGGTAGGAGTGACGCCTCCCACCGGCGTGGAATTTAATTCCTGTGCTGAGTCAGACCTCGAGCATGTGCATAATTGTGCATGCAAAAATCTATGTAGTTACCTGACTGCTCACGCAGTGGATTTGTGGAAGCTCCTGGCAATCAATCTCTGCTCTCCTTGAGCTGCCAGCTTGACTTTTATCTCGGCAGGTCCTTAATCCTGTCCTCCGGGCAGAGCATTTGGTGCAGGCACATGGATCCCTTTGGGAGATGGTGAGGGCTGGGCTGTGCCTTCTCCCCAGGCTGCTCTCACCTGCCCCAGGGCTTGGGCAGATCCCACAGACCGTTGCGCTGATGCCTGGGAATTGGTGGTGCTCCTGGGAATGGGTGGTGGGGAGAGCTTACCAAGTGTGTTTCCATCCAAGGGAAACTTGAACTCCAAAGGATGTTTGAACTTGGCCAACCCACCCAAAGGAGACGGAGGCTGCTTATGAGACAATGTCTGCAGCTCAGAGTGAAGAACTTGTTTTCTTTTCCACAGGATGCCGAGATCTCTGCCTTCGAACTGCGCAACATCTTGAATAAAATCTTGGCTAAACGTAAGTCCCTTCCTCCAACTGCAGCTTCAGTTGGCCACCAGCAGGTTTCCAGTGTGGCCACGGGAGCACGGAGCGCACCACTGACCTGGGCAGAACCAAAGCCCCGGGCTTTGTCCCAGACCTACGGCTTGGCCTTCCATACGGCCACTGTCACGTGCTCTCTGCTTCTTCAGGGGACTGCAGAAGCCCTGGGGTTGTGCCTGGGCTGAAGGAGCGTGGCCCAGCACGTGTGCTTCGGCAGGGTGCATAGAGGTGCCTTGTATCCCCGCATCTGCTGCTGGGAAATGGCTGCCACAAAGATGGTTGGATTTGATTCAATTCTTGAGAGTAACCAAGAGAAGGTATTGCTGCCACTTCAGTAGTGAGCCACTCCGGTGTCAGATGGTAGCCCAGCCAACGGTCTGGGGTGTTCCTAAGGAGGAGGAGAAACTGAAACTCTGGCCTTCTCTTTCTATAAGTGATTCAGAGCTTGGCTCTGCATTACTTTCATTGATATTAAATAGTGCTCGAGAAATATGTGCTTGGAGAAAGTAAGCATCTCTTTAATTTCCTAAGGTGAATTCTTGGCCAGGGCTGCGTTGCATGTCTGTGTGCACCAGCCAGTCACCGATGGTGTATTGCTGGTTACCAAGCTCAATTCAATGTTCTCTCCTTGCGTGAAGGTACCTACCACTGACCTCATCGGTCAGAACGTTGTCCATGAAAGTCCACTCTTGTCTTTGCAGGCAGACACTAAGGGCAGGAAAGCTTCATCTCTTGCTTCTGTGGCACACGCACAGCCTAGACTAACAGGGCTGTTTGCCTGGGGGACCATTACAGCTAACGTTAACCCTAAGTCTCTTGGTCAGGAAGTCAGAGCGGGCTGCTTCTTCACATCTGTTTGCCTGCTTCAGCACCGCATCCCTCTTGCATGGAACAAGGACTGTCCCAGGAGCATTTGCCGAGAGCCTGGCAGTTCTTGAAGACATCCCTGGAAGTGCTCAAGGCCAGGCTGGATGAGGCTTTGAGCAACCTGGTCTGGTGGAAGGTGTCGCTGCCCATGGCAGGGGGGTTGAAACTGGATGGGCTGTAAGGTCCCTTCCAACCCAAACCATTCTGTGGTTCTTGCTTGTGTGCTCCCACCTGCAGCTCTCCCTCGCTGGCAAGGCCTGAGCCCCCCGGCCAGACCTCTAAGCGAGCCGTGCCTCCTGCTCTGCTGGATGCAGAGGAGTGGTTGGAAGTCACACCTTGCCTCCCAGGGCATCCCTAAGCAACCTAAGGCAACGGTTTCCCATCCCGCATTTGCGGGAACCATCGGGTTATCTGTACTACAGCTCTACAGGCACCACATCCTCTGCTGTCAGTGCTGCATCAGGTACTTGCAAAATCCCGAAGGCTTAGGGTGACAATGGTAATTCCCAGAGCAGAAGGCGTGCATCCCCTGCGGCTCACTGCACTCATCTGGCCCAGACTCTGGCAGCGATACAGCTGGACACCTATTCCCAGGAGAGGATTTGAAGTAGGGAGCAGATTGCCATCGAGTAACTAGTGGGTGTAGATTACCAGCAGCGTAGGGCACTGAGCACACATTACGTAGGAGCTAAAAACCACACCAAAATGAAAATGTCATCTTGCCAGTGGCAAAGGAAGGCGCCCACAACAAAAGCAAATAAGGGCTGAGTGTATACACTGGCTACAGAGCTTCCGAGCAACTCAGGAAGGTGCTGTGGAACAGTATGTGGTGATAATCCGGTCTTTTCCTCTCTCTTTACAGGCCAAGATATCAAATCCGATGGCTTCAGTATTGAGACATGCAAAATAATGGTTGACCTGTTAGATGTATCCTTTAGGGCTGTTCCTAGACGATGCCCTTCTGCCTGTGCTGGGGTGGGTGAGCTGCTGCCTTTGCAGTGGTGGGTCCATACTGATGTACTAGCGACTCCTGCGGTGGAGAGGCTGGGTTTACCCTGCTTCTCCTGAATAAAACCGGAATCCCTTGCCATTGCTGCTGATGATGGCATGTGCGTTCTCCCAGGCAGTGGGGAAAATCCATTTCAGACAAGGCAATCTGAGTTTGAAGGTTGCCCTTCGCTGCTTTGTTACCTGGCTGGAGTCGGTAAGGGCGTCGAAGAGCCACGAGGATTTAGCAAATAGAAAATGATGCAAACAGATACCAGCAGCAGAGTATGCTGGCTTTTAGGAGCTCTAAGAATAAGGGTAAAGGTGTAGGATGAAGGATTCAAGTCTAAGAATAGTTGTGTTCAGCCTCTCTGTGCCGTGGGAGTTGAATTGTATAGTCAGAGAAAGGGAAAATTCCCAAACCAGGGTGATGCTGTAATTTGTCTAAAATACGGCACTCCGCAGGGACTCCTTTTTTGGGAGCAGTGCAATGACCGGCTTCTTATGTTAGCCGTTTGTGCAAGAACTGAAGTTCTCCAAATAGCAGGCTCAGTGGTGGCGTTTCCTGTTTCTAACCCAGAGTTAGCACTTGTGCTCCTGTAACTGCAGGTGCTGAACTGGCAACGCAGAGCAAAACAGGGACATCATCTCGGCTGGTTTCCGATGAACAGGTCGGAGGAGCAGCAGGAGCTTGGGAAATGATCACGGTTTAAATAAATCAGTCACCTTACCGATTTAGAGAGACAAGAACCCTTGGACTGCAGGATGAGTCCTGCAGAGAGGACTCGCATCCTTCATCACATTATTGGGGGGGTTTAAGTATTAAGTCAGAACTGCCCACGTGAGTAAACCCAACGGGGAGAGGGGAACCCTTTTCCTTCCTTCCAGAGAGCTTACCTTAACTCACAGAAGAATGATGGGAGTGGTAAACTGGGACTGAAGGAATTCCACACCCTCTGGACAAAGATTCAGAAATACCAGGTAAGACGCAGTCTTTTTGGGAGAAGATGCAATCCAGTCTCCAGAGGTGGCTGGAGACTTGATTTGCCACAGGCAGTGTTTACCGCTTCAGCTCGCAATGTGTTTGCGTCCTCGGCCCCCTGGGTTTTGTCCCTCGGAGCCCCAGGGTGCGATGACTTCAGCCCTGAGATTGCCTCTCTTCCTGCCTTACTCTCCGAGGGGTTTCTGGTTTGGTTTAGCTCGTGTCTGAGAATGTTCAGCTTTCCCACTTCACCGTGTGAGTTTAAGTCCAGCTGCTCGCTTTGCTACTGGAGTGCCATTTTGCACAGGTGTTCAAGGAAGTCTCCAGAGTCTTTATCCGCTCTGGCTGCTCCATAACAAGACTTTCAAAAGCCACTTTGAGATGAACTCAGGGCTAAGTGCCTAGTCCGTCAGAGAAACATTGCACACAGTCCTGAGCAGCACGCAGGCTGCATTTCAGAGTGTTTGACTTCTGACTAAAGCCACAGCATGCTCTGAATTATCGACAAGCTTTGAGTTTGGGTTTTGTGTTCTGCAGAAAATTTACAGGGAAATCGACGTGGATCGATCCGGCACCATGAATTCGTACGAGATGAGGAGAGCACTGGAAACAGCAGGTATTTGTACTGTTCGGTCTCTTTTGGGGGTTGTGCGTTTCAGGGTGGGTTGGCAGATGCTCCCTAGTCTCTGCGTATCGCTTTTACTGAAAAATCCTGTGTTCCCAGACCGGATGAAAGGCCTCCATGTAATCTAGATGCTCGGATAATCAGTGAGTCTCCCTGGGCAAATCGGGAGTTGGCATAAGCCTGCAAAAAGAGGGATGGCGTGACCTCGGGAATGGAAGTGGCTCTGCCAAGGCAAGTCTGTTTGCTACTGCAGCCACTGAAAAGCAACTCTGTTATGACTGTGAGGCAGGTAGCACAAAGCCATCCTCTTAAAATTTGAGAATTTAACCAAAAGCAGCTAATTGAATTTCTGTCAGTATATGAGGCTGGGGTTTTTTTGTTGGTTGGAGCTTGTTGCACAGTTTTCTTCCTCTTTTTAAATCCTTGGTGCTGTATTTTTAGGGTTCAAACTGAACTGCCAGTTACATCAAATCATCGTGGCTCGTTTTGCTGACGAAGACCTCATCGTTGACTTTGATAACTTTGTCCGGTGTTTGATCCGGCTGGAAACCTTGTTCAGTGAGTACACACTTAAGAACCAGACAGACTCTGTTGCTTGGTGTTTTTGAGTCTGGGATAATTTACTCAGGAATCTTTGTACTGGAACCAGAGGAACTTCAGAGCTGAGTCATAAATCCAGCAACCCAGTCTGCACACTCCGCCTGGGTGGGGGCATCAGCCTTCCGGGGCCTGTTTTTTGCTGAACCAGAGCCAGACAGTCATCCGTGCAAACAACTAAGCATTCATCAAAAAGCAAAAATCAGTATAAATATGTACGGATTAACAAATAGTGCTGATATTAAACTGGACTATTAAAAATGTTCAGTCTTTTCCTTGCACATGAGCATGCAGTGACTTTAGAGTGGCCCTTTCTGATTTGGGGTGCAGACCACTGCCATAAAGTTTAGAATCTGGGACTACATTGCTTTTTGATCCTGCAGCAGAAGGAAGGGGAAGGCTTTACAGTTAGTTCCTCTATTCATCCTTGTCTGTTACCTCTCTGTTACCACAGAAATGTTTAGAAAACTGGATACCGAGAAAACTGGAACAATAGAACTGAACCTCGTTAATGTAAGTTCATTGAGGTCTAAAATGTTTGTTGTTGTCTTTTCTGGGAGGAAGGGGTTAACAGGAGAGACTGTCCTGCTCCATTCTGACTGGCCATGGCCAGTGGTACCGATCCACATGCAAGCATATCCCTACCTCAGGCTGTACCTCTAACAACCCACGGGCCAGGTTACTTGGGCCTGAGGCCATGTACCTCTTCCCGGCAGCGATTCTGGCTGGTGTCTCTGCGGGTCTCTTCCCTGCCTTTCCTGTCAGCAGCAGGGTAACGCGTCACTGCGGTACTGAGCGTGCCTGCTGCTTTCTGCACCCTGTGGAAGGGACGAAGTTAGGAGCAAACCCTCTCTTACAGGTGTTCAGCTTGCTTACCTGAACATAACTTACTTTTGGACCTACATGAGGAATGTGAAAATCATCCCAAAATTCTTCTGACTTAAATGAGAGAGAAATTTAAACCATTCAGGAAAGATCCTAAAGTTACTTCTGTAACAACAGACGTTCTTCCTCCTCTTGCTTGAAATGGGAACCCACGTACTTGCTACAACCATTATTAAACTTAACCTTGGGCCGTTTTCCTCTCTCTCTCGTTACAGTGGCTGTGCTTTACAGTCATTTGAGCCCCTGACATCCGCTCCGGAGACCTCAGAGCAAGCCGAGGTGAAGATAATGAAGCAAACACACGCGTACTATCCTAACCTAAGCGTGCCTTAACCCGTGCACAGCAAATTTTGCACACAGCAGCGAGAAGGAAAGCGCTCAGCAAGAGAAGAATCAGCAGCCTCGTTTTTATGGGTCGGACAGTCTTTATCTACGAGTCCGTGTCCTTTGTACAAAAGCTTTCATTTATTATAAACCCTCAGAGCAACTTTTGAAAACACTGCTTTGCTACTATCTTTGTATTTGGGGGGCGTTACGGGACTTCTGGAAGAAAGCTCATTAAAGCAGGCTATCGGTAATTAAGGCTTTCTGACTAACAGCTCCACTCCATCCGGCGTACCTGAGGCTAGAAGAGGGATGTATTGCATAGCCCCCCTTGTTTAGGGAGGATGCGGGTCCCTTGCGTTATTCTGGTTAACTGCTCTTTGAAGCATTTGAGTAGCAAGTGCACACTTGACCAAACCAAAGGACAAGTCTTTCCCTCCTGCCCACCTCGGCTGGAACCTTGATTTCCTCCATCTTCCTTTCAATCACAAGAAAATATTAAAGTAAAACCAGTAGCAGTGAAGCTTGCAAGGCTGTTACTCCTTCTGCAAGTAAGCGCATTTTTCATCAGAGCATCTGCTTTTGGGGTGAGGAACAGGGTAGGTTGCCTTTTAGAGGAGAAAAACAGGATTCTGGAGCCAACTGGGCACTGACAGACCCTGCATGTGTCAGTTACTGAAACGTTCCATTTCTGATACTTTAAAAGACTAATGTTTGAAAAACTAAGGGTTTCCAAAGACAGACAATGGATACCATATACCCCATACCCAAGTTGTTACAATCATGAGGCTGTGAACATGAGCAGATTGCTGCTGCCCGGAGTCCTCACCACAGCTGCCAGGTTTGCCCACTTGAATTGTCTCCTACCTCCCATGAACAAATTTCTTGTCATTATGGACACCTTTTCAGAAAGCAGGAAGGACTCACCTCTTAGGAAAACATCAGGCACTTCACGAATACCCTTAAGGAGAGATTTGATCCCCTCTATTAAATAATATCCATCATCAAATGATTATTCCCAAATAGATAGATATAAAGGGTAGTGCCATGGGAAGGGCTTTCACTGGAAAACATGGAAAGACCATCTCGAACAAGAAGGGGAAGAAGGGCTCAGTTAGCACAGGAAGTCATTGAAGATTAGTGCGATGTAGGACAGCAGCGCGCATGGCTTCAGGGAGGCGTTGTCAGACGGTCTCACAGAAACTGGACACTAAACCACCAGAGTTAAAGCTTAAGAGGAGACAAAAGTTTAATGGTATCACAGTCATTTAAAAACAAGTAAGTTGTCAAGGAGTACAGAAAGTTTCTACACTTAGTTTTCCAAGTACAAAATACAATAAATACATGAGGCTGCCTGTAAAAAGAGGAATCTAAAACTACGTTGTGTGTTACAGCACATAATATTTGGAATACATGGAATTCCTAAGATGCTACAGCGTTTTTAAGAGTTATTGCTTACTGGATTGGTCACAGGGTGGTCAGTGCTCAGCTGCGCTTCGGTTGGGCTGCTTTCATAAACATTCTGCTTCCAGCAATAAGCATTTGGGTGCCGTGCATGTACTTTAATTTCTCCCATCTGGAAAAAGCCTTGGGATAAATTTGGACAAAAGCCAAGTTGTCTGTTTCATGATGGTTCTCTTCAATGGCAAATTGAAACTGTCCTTGTACTGAATGCAGAAAAACGTGAGATTTTTTCCCGCCGTGTTTGGAGAAATCGGAGCGGGTACTTGAACGTAAGGGCTCGCTCAGACCGAAGGCAGCAGTCGCACTTGCTCGGAAGCACTGTTTCATCCTGTAGAATGCCCTCATCCATTTGCTAATGCATCAATCCTTCATTTGTTTTCAAAGCACATTCTTCATAGCTTTCAAATTACATTGTCATTGAAATAAGTCTCATGGTACTGGAACCGACACAAAATGAGTTTTTTTTGTAAGTCATCCATGATTAGTACTTCTAGAATCTGGCTTCTGTACTGTTTCATGCCAAGCTTCTTTGTCTGGGCTTAATCCTTGGATACAGCTGAGGGTAAAACAGAAATGAGATTTTTTAAAGCACTAAAATTTAAAAGGTTACTTTTTTTTTAAAAGGAAAAAAAACAAAAGAGGAAATAAAGCCCTCTCTGTAGTGCTCCAATTCTAATGCCATCTCTAGTAGCAAAAGCAGAGTTAGAACAACACCCAGAGCACTAACAACTGTGATTTTAGCATTCTTAGGTGAGCTTAAAAATGACACTAAACCACATCAGTACAAAAGGAAAGCACTGAGCAGCACGTAATTCAGCACCTTCAGCTCTACCCAGACGGCTGGGCTAGGAAAAACTTGGGGCTTTGTCAGTCGAGCCACTTCTGTGTTCAGTGAACTGTAGGATTTTTCCCTTTTTATAAATGGAAATAGAGAAGTATTAAAGCCCGTTTCACCTCCTCTCTCTCCTGTCAGCCTTTACGTAGCTATAGCTTTGGGCAAGCTGGAAACGTCTGGCTGCGTAAGGACTGTGGAGGCGTAGGAGCTGTGCTTTAGTGAGTGGCTAGTGGGTGGCCAGTTGAATTCATCTGACCAGCGGGGAGTATGTCTGTAGCTGCCAGCCTGAGGGCCCTTGAGCTGCGTGCGATTCGCACGTCCTGGCTACGCACAGGGGTACAGACGGCCTCAGCTGCAAGGCGAGGGTGACCGGACACAGCAGCACAGGATGCTTGGGAAGCTCTTGGCTCCCATTGGCAAAGGGCTTTGGGAACAGCTACCGTTTTGCAAAGCGTGGCTACTGGCACATTAAGATAGAAGGATACGCTTTGTAGGAGTTCGGAAAGATGAATCCTCTGTGCTCTAAACAGCAGTGTGTGTCTACGGTAGCTGAAAGCACCCAGAATGAAAAGTTCCCCTAAAAGATGCCCTCTTCTCTCTTCAGCCAGACTCTGCCTGCCTTCTTTTTCCTAGTCACCGATTAAGAGAAGACCAACAACTGCACCTGCAAGGTTTGTCTCAGCCTGCTGCTATTTCACACTAGCAGAGGAGAGGAAGTCAGTCAGCTACATTAGCCTACCACCTGACAGTGTTTGAAAGACCACATTTGGCATTGTCATCAGTATTTTGTCAGTTATTATCTTCTTTGCATTCAGTTCTGGAGCTCTCACACAGCTTAGGGAGCTAGCGAGTCACTAAGGGTAGAGTCCGGATGCAGTTAATGTCATACAGTCACGGCAGGGTTTGGGTGGGAAGGGCCCTTACAGACCATCCAGTTCCAACCCCCCTGCCATGGGCAGGGACACCTTCCACTAGACCAGGTTGCTCAAAGCCTCATCCAGCCTGGCCTTGAACACTTCCAGGGATGGGGCATCCACAGCTTCTCTGGGCAACCTGTTCCACTGCCTCACCACCCTCTCCGGGAAGAACTTCTTCCTGATATCTAATCCAAATCTCCATCCTTGTGCGTTTTGGTTTTTTTTTCTTTTTCAGTGCACCTAAGCGCAAAAGCATAAAGCAGCTGTGATAAAGATACAACTTACTGTGAGCATATACTGAGCTACCAAACATTTTCTTTTGTGCTGAACATCTTGGCCTGGATTGCAGCCACCACCCTAAGGGTCTGGTTAACGGCTCTTGAGAATAACCACAGAATACTTGGGTCACAGCACCAGCCCGACTGAACAGACAAGAGTAATAGTTGATACTGGGCTCGGGTAGTTTTCCCCAAAGGTTCTGTTCGAGTTGTGTTGTGCTTAGAAGGACGAATCATCATCCCCAGCTCAACTGTGTTGCCTTGCGCTTTCGACTACAGGCGAACAGATGCTCCTCACGTTCTTACGCACCTGTGCTCAGGCTGAGCGCGCAAGCTTATGAAGAAGTGGCACACGCACAATTCACCCTGGGGCAGGGAAAAACCACCCAGCTGCCATTTCTGACCTTACTGTGCCGCTGGCTGCTCTCAGTTTAGGGGCGTTTACCTTTGGAGAGAAGTACTATGCTAGGGAGCGTTTTGCAGCACATTGTGGGTAGGCCTGCCCTGAAAGCGATGCAGAAACAAAACCTGATTTTGCATTAGGGGCAGTCATTCTGCAAAATCTAACCAGTTTGAGAGTGAGGATTATCTGCATGAGGAGGGAGGTTCAGCCTCTTTCAAGCATCATACATCAATCAGCTAAAATTCACAGCAGTTAATCTTTAGCACTGGCAGAACCTCTTATCTCCAGCAGCAGGGCAACTGGATATGTAGGAAAAAAGCGCTTAATGGAGTTTTTATACATGTGTCCATCTGCTCTAGTCCTCTAGCAGCTCAGCCTTGAGGAGAGATATGGGGACATAACGTGTCTGCTACTTGTACACAGTTGTTTTTAATAAAAGAGGTAGAGCAGAAGGTGATGAGGAAAGGAAAGGCCATTCATTTAAGGCCTTTCGCATATTAGAGAGCGTAGGAGAAAAGTTCTGCCTTTATTTGGCAATGTGATCTCTTTTTCAAGAC